CTCAGGCTCGCTGTACACTTTGGCCGGCTCGCTGTAGGACTTGGCCGGCTCGCTGTACGGTCGTGGTGATTTGTTGTAGCCCTTCGACGATTGGCCGTACATCTTGTTGCTCGGTCGATTGTAGTGGGAAGCGTCGAAGTGTCTGCCTGCCTTCCGCCCTTGCACCGCCTGGTACCGTTCCGATTGCACCTCTACGGGCTCCTCGCTCGGCTCTTTAGGCTCCTCGCTCTCCTCGGGCAATTCGTAGTTGTCCTCGGTTGGCAGGATGATCGTGTCCCCGGAGGAAACGCTTCTTNCTCGTGGTCGTGGAAGCCCTCGTCGTGCCATTCCTCGTCTCCTTCGTAACGTCTTTGGACGAGATTGAGATGGAGCTCGGAGGCCTCGAGACGACCGTCGCGTCCGTATTGTCATAATGTTCCACCCTGACCTTGTACGGCGTGGCCTCGACGGTGGACGTCACGCCGACGCCTATAACCTTTTGCCGACCTACGACCCCTTTGTTGGTCGAGTTGACGCTCGTCGTCGTCGCGTTCGTCCTCGCTTTCTCTCGCGTAGCTGCTGTCGACGTGGCTGTCGTCGTCGCGCTGATCGAACTCTGGGGAGCAAGCCTCGTCGAGGATATGCCGCCGGTAGTGGTCAACTCGTCGATCAACGACGCCAGATTCTGCTGCCTGTTCTCCACCGTTTTGTGACTTATGGGATAGAATCGAACCACCTCCTCCCGGCCGCCTGTGTTCCTCGCTCTTGGGACCACCTGTCTGTTCCCGGGATTGCGCGATATTCGGTAAATCGACGCCTCGTGCTGATGAGATTCCGCTGTCGCGCTGTCTCCTGACGAGGCCGGCTGTCCTCCGCGTCTGAAACCTCTGCGCCGCTGCGGTGGTGTCGCCATGGCGCCGTTTATGAAAACGGACAGGAATTCCGTGCCCGCGAGTATGTCGTTCCTCTTCGCTGGAGCGCCGTGTACTTCGTCCCACACCAGTGCCGCCTTCAGCAGTACCTGGAAAATTGTTTGTTTCCTCGTTCAGTGAAATCCGGGAAGAAAATTCGTGCGTGTAAATATAATTAATCCTAAACCTTGATCCAGACGGAATTATTTTTGACTTATTTCTTTTTTTTTGATTGTGTAATTAGTAATATTTAATATCTACGAGATGAATATATGGATGACAACTTGATTATTTTGAGATGACTTTTAAGATAAGAAATACATTGTTTTTAATTTTTTTTTCAAATATAAAATTACGATCACTGTCAGAATCGTTTAAAATTAAGAATAGAATTTGTGACGCGACACTAGCGCCATAGAATCATTAACTACTAAGCATATATAATATATATTTATCCATATATTTATTTCTTCCGATGTTCGTCTTTTGAATATTAAAATGCCATTCTTTTATTTTTCTTATATTTTTCTTTTAAGAAAAATTTCATTTCTATTTTCCAAATTTTTTACCTTGCATTCTTTAAAATTCTTCCTTCGCTTATTCTTACAATTGAAGTACAACTTTTTGGATAATATCACGCATATAAAATACGTTACTCGTTACTATATTAATTATTTAACTTTAATAATATTAGGCATGTTTATTTTTGTAAAATAAATATATCGACGCTAAAATATATAAAATACTGAGAATTCGGAATTCAGAATACGGAGGGGAATACAACAACGAGCCAAGTTGCACGAAGTCAAACGTTATCTATACGGAACGCGCAAGAGTCGTGAATTCAGAAAGACAGTGGGATCGTTCGAAGAAAAGCTTGCTATCGTTCCATCGAGATAAACATCGCGCATGCTTTCGAGTATCTGTAAAATGTTGAAGTTGGACGAACCGTTGCGAGTCCATTAAAGTCACGTGGGATCGGTGAACAAGTTCGCAAGTACTTTACGAGCCGAGGACGCATGTCGGGAATCGCGTTCATTTTTTCAATTCTCGCGCCCAACGATAAAGCGCCAACTCGCCTTACTCGACACACGAAGGTCACGCCAGGTGCATCCTATCAATTTATAAATTACGTTAAGGCCGCGAAAGGGGAGGGGAAGGCAGCTTATGGCACGAGGGGAGGAGCTTTGACTCGTGTTCCACCTAGTCGTCACCTTATTATCTTTCACGAACACCTCATTTCCTAGCTTGGTTGAAAAAAGTGGCGGCCTTCGACACCTCTTTTCATCAAAAGTATTCGTGAATGTTTTCTTTTCTAAAAAAAAAAGGGTGAGTGATACTTGTATCACTTCTTTCGCGTGAATAATAATTTGGAGCGATAAGAATTCGAATATTTCTAGAATTATTTCTAAATTCGAATAATGGGTTAGTGATAAAAATTGGGGAAGTTTTTAATAAAACTCGATGCATTTAAATTCGTATTGAATTTAATTAGTTACTAGCAATACGATGTTATGTTTCTATATCTTCGTTTTATTTCTCATTTGCATGTAGTAACGAATAATCGTAATGTAAGTAACGTATGACATCGAAGATCAATTTATTATTCAAGGACGTGGATTTTTCTCAAACGAATTCTTAATAAGAAACTTTTGTATCTCTTAGGCTCGTAATATCTTTCGTCTTACTCCCTTCTACCTTCTGGATACGGAAATACGAGAATCATGTGCTTACAACAGGTGTGAGTGAAATTAAAATCAGCGTTCACCGTTTCGATCGGATATTCATACGTTCAAACAAGTTGTAGATTAGATTAATCGAGTACATTTACAGAATGACTTTGATTATTGAAATTTCAAGGAACATTCTTCGCTGGTTCAGCTCGTAATAGTAAAAATAGTAAAAATAATGCAATTATCAGTTTCACTTTCGCTTTGCGCGAAACTTAAATTACGTATTCACAAACGCGCAATAATATATCTTCTTCGAATCACAAATCACAATCAATTTTTAAACTCAGATATAGACACTTGACACTTTCACGATGAAAAATTCTCTATTCCAAGTAATGAAATATAAAAAATCCTTGATTCTACGTTTCAAAACCCCGTTTCATGTTCTTAATTGTCCTTAAACGGTCGTAAACCGGTCGTCGCTTGTTCTTCTTTTCAAGGTTCACCACGTCCAGACCCGACATTGTCCGCTATCTCACGATAAAAACACCGTTAAAATCCGCGAAATCCCCGTCGCACAATGATCCAAAACACCGAATTCACGGATCGCTCGCTTTCTATATACGGGTATAAAGTCTTAATTTATATCGTTATTACGCGATTCCCGGAGAGAACGGTGGATGGAGGGAAAGGGAGAGGGCGAGGGAAGCGTAAAAATATTTATCCACGGCACAAAAGCCCGGGATACCCGGATCGTTAATAATTTAAAAAGGTCGAGACCTCCTCGCCACGATTTTGCTCGTCGCTTTCGATCCGCCGTAAAACGCTCTGAATTGAAATTTTTGCAATCCCGCGGAAGGTCGCCGCCATTGCGTCATTCCCCCCCTCCGAATAAACGATTCGAAACGATATTAAAAGCGATTCGATCGATTCGCGAGAGATATTCGTGAAAAAGAAAAAAAGAAAAAAAAATTATATTATCTTTAGAAGAACTTAAAATTTGCTTAAATTTCTCTTGCTTTTTTTTTTTTTTTTTT